TTCAAAAACTTATTGACTGTAATCGCATAAATTATGATGGTTATTACAATTAATGATTTAATAATAAACTGTTGCAAAGATTGCTGGAGATATTTTGAAAATATCTTCTACTGAGAGGCATACGAACTTTGTGCATAAATTGTTGATAATTATTAAAATTTTGTCATCAAATTAGACCTTAAAATAGAAATGATCTCATACAATTACAGCACATTTTGACACATATCCTTAAGATAAATGTAAAAAAACTGAAAAAGTTTAATTTTGACGGCCTATATAAAGTGATATTCAGCCACTCACATTATATTAATTTTTAGGAATAAAATCATAAGTTTATATATTACTTCAAATTTGCAAACTTTTTTGCTAAAAATAGCGAATCTTGCGTCACTATTTTAGTTTAAAAGTAAGTTATTGCAAGACGCTAGAAAGAATGCAAAGAAGTAGGTATTCGGTATGATTAAGATAGTAGTTTAGAGAGTAATTTAGTTGCAGTATTTGTTATAGTTATTGTGTGAAGATGCGCAATTTGAATATATTTACTGAATTTATTATTGTTTATAGACAAAAGTTGTTGAAATAATAGTTACTTGCTTGTATACTGACTGCTTCTAATGCACAAAAAGGATTGAAGAAAATGCAAGAGAAAGTTGTGCAAATTGAGGGATCTGAAGTGAAGAATAAAATTATATTGAGAAGCTATTCTGCTGCTTAATCATGTTTAAATGTATGTTTCTGGAATTTTTTGTGCACTGCTATCCCTTCCCACAATCTTCTTCATCCATCGATGGTAGTTATTTTGTTGTCTCAAAGCTGTAAATAAGCAAGAGTAGAAAGATAATCGCAAAAATTGATTACTTGCAGCAAAAATGTTTTCCCATGAGATATTTGAGATTCTTGCCAGCTGTTTACTATAAATTCCTTTAAAAACTTCAATACTGACTAAAATAATGCAAGTTTTATATCCATTTCAAAAATTATCCTTTTGATTCTTATTTTCTTAGCTTCATTCCAAAGTTATAAATACAAAACATTAATGGATAGTACCAAATTTTAATTATTATCAACAGAAATAATGCAGGCAAAAGGATAATTGAAGAGAGAAAAAAAATGATCACTTCATTTGATTCGAAAAAAATCTTACATATCGAATGCAAATAAAAATCACAACTTTTTGTTATTGACCACAAATTTCACTTTTAAATTTGCCAATTTCTTTTTATTGGTAAACATGTTTTCATACCAAAACAACGAAAACAACATGGCAATGTGAAATTTTCAATTTTGCTTTTCATGCGAAAAGAAGAGATATGGAATAACTCGAATAAAATTATAAACTTAAAAGTAAAATAATGAAAATCAGTTGCTTGTATAATGACCAAAAGATTGTGACCACTAAAGCATACTCATATTTATTATTTACTATTTATTATTACTGATACTTGTAGATGACAGTTTATTGCTTGTAAATAATAATCTTTTCTTCATTTCTTGACATTGGCTTACACTTTTATTATTACTTCGTCCTTAGCAAGCTAGATAAATTACCAAGTGGATTCCCTTCAACGCTATCATTCATATTTCTGTTCATAATGAAAGAAAGGTCTTTTTAAAAGGCAGGCAGGTATTTTCACGACTTTATAAATCTATTTAATTTATTTCAAATATTTATTCGCAATATTCTCAAGAGAGAAAGACAATAAATTTTTAAAAGACACAGATGATAATAATATTTGCAAGGCTGATTATATTTTCAGAATCTCAAAAAGTTGTTCGTTTGTAACACATGCTTTTGAAAAATTTTGCATTAAATACATTCAATTAATGTATATACTAATTGCTCTTCAACTGGAATGATTTTTATATCCATTCTATATTAAATGGTCAGTGCTTCGTCTCAGTTACAAATTTTCATGATATAATGTTGATTTATTTTATAAATTCGAAAACTATGAGCATTTCAAAAGCATTTTACGCAATTTAATTTTGAATCGCATAAGTTGACGACTATAATAAATATCAGATCATGTCAGCATTCTTTCACTAACGTTATCTAGCTAGTTATTTTAAGATGCACTTTTCTGCTCATTTTTTGAAATATTAAAACACATAATTTCTGACTGTTAAATTGCATTCATCATTGCTCTTGAATAAAACGAAAAAAAAATTATATTTTATTCCAGAAGAATATTTTTTTCTTGCGATGTTAACAAATAAAATTGGTAACAGTAGCATCACCATTACTACAGTACAGACTGTCATCACCAGTAACAGTAAATGTTTGTAATTTAGTCTGTTTAATGACAACTACAAAAAATTACAATTGCTACACCATACACTTATTATTCTTCTTCATTATTCCTTGGTCATGCTGAAGAGCTTGTTCAATTTTTCATAAATCGTTGAGGTAAGTGAAAAAGTTACCTGTCATAGTGAAGATTCCTACCAATGTTCCAATATTCCTTCCTGCCAGCATAACTTCTTCCGTTTGTTCACCATCGATGAGCATGGTATTGACATTTTTAGCTTTTCGACCAGCCCAAATGCCAACGACAAGAATCAGCAAGTAAAAGAATATAATGGCAACAATGCCCAGGTAATCAATCATTTTCTTCTATTATCGATATCAATTCATATTTGACAAGTAATAGCAATAATCCGCGTTAGCTTCAGCAGAAGCAACAATTTTTTCATTCTGCTTAACCTTGACCGAAAGAAGTGAAATTATGTCAGGTTCCACTTGCTTGATGATGCTTAAATAATAGATGTATACAACTTTGGCATTTTTTGCTGTATCTGTAAATTTTTCATCAACTAGTATCAATTATTAACTATCCATCTAACGCCAACTTCATGCATATCAACGACCATGTATTTGGAAATTGTTGTCCATGTGAAAAATTGTAATCCATTTGTAATTTACAGTAATGCAACTCTGCAACATTTTTGATGAAGTAAATCAATCTAATATCATTAATTTTAGCAAAAAGTTTAAATTTTGAAGTAAAAAAGTTTTTGTATTAATGTTGATATTTTCAAAACTGTAATATACAGACTACTACTATTTAATCATCTTTCTATTTCAAATAAAAACAGAAATGATTATGTGTTCGTACTCATTTCTCTGATCTTTAACTTCTGATTTATTCTTATTCAAACTAGTTATTCAAGTTTTTTTAGTGCTTTCATGCAAACATTCATGCAAACATTTTTTCTCACCAAATTTGATCTTTGAATAAGAAATCTAATCTCAACATAGAGCAGTGAAAGTTTAGAAATATTCAAAATTTTGGCAAAGTTACTAACATTTGTAACACAAATTTAAAAGACTTTTTGACTTAAATGTTATAATCAGTTTGAAAATGAGCGAAGTTGTATCTTACAACGTTACTCCTTCCACAAAACATAAAATATGATATAAATTAACACAAATAAAATTGATAATTAGTTCTAGTTTAGAAATGCACTACTATTCATACTAATTAATCAGTCAGTGGTGAAAGCTAAGCTAACGAAAGTTATTATAGAAGGAATCAATTGAATTGCATGTTCGAAAATAAAGAAAAATATGTTGATTTATTTAAATGGCATAAGCAAGAGAAGCATGCAAATAACAGTTATTTTAATTCAATCTTTTTATTATTTTATAAGTTAAAAAAAAGATATTCCTCAAAAAAAAAATTTTAAATAATGATAGAAGGAGAATTTGTAAACGAAAGTTAATTGCAATTTTATGAAATTCTAAAAAAATACATAATCAGAATAGCATACCTATGGATGTGTACAGAAACTTGGAGAAATTTGCAGCATGGTTAATGTAGAAAAGATGCAAACTTTTATTACAAAGAATAACTTACTTCAAAAACATAAAGTAAGAAAATACAAAAGTTTTGATGCAGAATAAAAAAAACAAAAAGAACCCAAGTTACTAATTATGTATATATACATATGACTGGAAAAATTATTGTAGTTTTGAAGTTAAAATTTGAACTTTCATAATTGCAAAAGTATTACACTTTTAGATTTATTATATAGTATGTATTATACAGTAGCTCCCCTTCATACACTTAAATGTAATCCTTTAATGAGCAAATCCTAGTACTTGAATCTTTCCGTTGTAATTGTGTAAAAGAAAAAATTTTACTTTCTTAAAATAAAAATATATTTGTATGAGTTAATAGTTTTCGTAGCAAACTTAATCAGTTCATGGGAAAAAATAAATGTATGCACGTAAGCATATTCTGAAATAAATAAAAGTTTTATTATTGAAGCAATGCTTGACGAGTTAAAAGGATAGAAAACGTAGGGATGACCGAGATACCCATCTAGAATCACTGCCAATCGATGCTTGAAACTAAGGATGGAGCGAATGCTTCCACGTCCCGAAGAAAAGAACCCTAATGAGGTGAAGCTCGAAGTAGTCGTGCCTTTTTCCACGCCCCGCCTTGTATTCATTCATCTAAACTTGTCTTTCTCCTTCGTTCACATATAAATTTTTTAAAAATTTTGTCTCCACATATCTTTTCATTATTTCTTTTCAAAAAAAATTGTTCATTTTTAGTAATTTATGCTTTTAATGTATTCATATGTATATGCCATCAATATCAGTACTACAAGCATTATTATTAATTATCGATGACAACAGTGACCAATGATAAATATTACTTGCAAACTTACAGTATCCCAATGTAATATGTATGATTTGTCATTATCCCATTGTAATATGTATGAATATGGAAAGATTCAATTTTTCAAAATGAATCAAATTTTTCGCAAAAAAAAAAAAGAATTAAAATGAAGTATTGATAGAACATTACAATCATTTATAATGATATAACAATTTTTCATAATATTAACTGAGTAAATTATTCAAGATTTCTAGGTTTTTAATAGTTATATTTTGACACAGTATATATTCCATCACTTACAAAGGTTACATTCCAGAAGATAAAAAAATACTTGAACAATAAGTGAAATCTTAAGACAAAAATTACAAAAAAATAAATCAATGAATAAAACGTACAAGGTGACAAACACTTAAGAGATTTAATGAAAGTATAAGAAGTTCTCGAGTTTTACTCTTCTCGGTTTTTGAATATGCCAATTATACTATTCAATTTGATAGTACTTCCATCAGCTTATTTAAGCAATTGAAAATATAACTTATCGACTATACTTCTGAAGAAGAGAGCATAGAGCTTTCTTTCAACTGAATCAACGAATAAAGAAACTTGCAAGTGTTTTCATCTTACATTTTCTGCAACAGTTAACATATTTATAAACTTGATTTCGTTTGCAACATATTGCACCCATTTCATTACGCAATGAATGTTGTAATAATGCAAGTATTCATGTCCAAAATTTGACATGATTGCATATAAGTAATACAATACTTGGTTAGAACTCAGGATCATATTTCAAGAACAGTTTATCTCAATTTTCTTTTCTCAATATACCAGTTTTATGGAGTGATGAAATTAATGAAGTTACCAGTTACCCATAAATACTTACCACAAAGCAACTTTGATTATTTTGAAACCAAAGACTGATTTTGAAAATTTTCGTGAAAAACCAAGCAAACTTAGTTAAAAGCTACCAATCTTGTTTATCGCATTTTTCTACTGAAACATATTTCTAATATTACAGCCACTAAAAGTTACACCCAAAAGTGCCAATAATCCTAGCTTATAAACTTTAGAGCAACAATTAACAAACAAAAGATGACACACTTGTACCATGAAGACTGCGACAACTCTTCTCTTCCACAAACAGTAAAATCAGATAGTAGTACGTACTTAAACACCAGGGAAAATTTTAATTTCAAGAAAAAAAGAATGCTTTCAATCAAATGCAGTCACGAGCACAAACTTTAATTTTTATTAGGTCATGTGATTAAAAATTTTAAGATCTTTGCAATTATTTTCAACTAAAAAGGAAAGCATTTTGAAATATGTGACATGATATAAAGAGTAAAATTGCCATGCACACGAACACTAATTGAGCACCGACACGAAAGAGGTGTTTTAAATGAAAGATAGCTACAAGTAGAGTATAAATGCATTTTATGTTCAAAATTTAAGGAAAGACCTTTATACAGATGAAACAATACAAGAACCCATTATTTCAAAAAAATTCAAACAAGCTGACTGAAATGCCACTGGATTGCTGAGGTAACAAGCGTGTCCTGCTGAAGGTATTCTCAACAGCCTGAAAAACTGGTCTAGAGTGATCGTAATATTTTTAAACAACAAATCAAACCGATGAGAATAAACGAACATAAAGCCCAATATATGCAACAAATAGTACATAGTTTAAAAAAAATGAAAATATAAATTTGTGAGAAAACTTTTAAGACAGTAGACCTAAATACTTTAAAGAATTGATACTTGGAATTAGGCAGTTTACTGAGATTAGAAGCAGCATTAGGTCCTAGACTGGTATCTTTTTCTCCCCATATTACCAGTACTGATGTTTTGATACTTTCTGGAGTAGCTGGTAATACATTCGTGTTTGACAATGCAATTGCAACTACACAAGCTATATGACTCGCTCCAAGTAGCGGTACGACATACTGCCCCGCCATGCTGTGCCCAATGACTATAACCTAAAAATACGGAGAAGTCAAAAAATCATATAAGCTTTAATCCAAAAAAAAATTATTGGAAGTAGAGACCTCTTAAATGACACTGACTGAAGAAGTTTCATTTAAAAACTGTGAGCTGGAATCACATTAAAATGGTAATTAAAATGAATGACTTTTTTAAAAAGAAACAATTCTGACTCAAAAAGTCTAATTTAAAAAGAAATAACTGAACTGTAATAATTTGCAGAAAAAGAAGTTATTCACGATAGTAAAATTAGCATGGAGGTTTCAAGAAAAATAAATTACGTTATCAAGTTCGAGTGCCTGCATTACCAGGGGAATTACTTCAGCTTTTTCAGAATCTGGAACCGTTGACCCACCAGTTTTCCCACAACCAGGCATATCAAATGCTAAACAGCGATATCCAGCAGCAGAAAAAATCTATAAATACTGTAATATTAACATTACTACTAAATCATTGAAGATTTAGATTCATTAACTCATTCATATATAGAATTATTTTTGTAGTAACATCATCACTTTTACAATAAAACAACCTGCATCGTTGAATTCTCCAACCATGTTGATGATGAAAATGATTGTCCATGGATTAACAAAATCGTCCCTTTACAATCTATTTCTCGAGGAGGCACTGTTTCTCGAAAAAACATTTCATAACTCTGAAAAACCTTTGCAGAAAATTTACATACTATTTAAGCGATAAAGAAAGCTAATTTTAGTCTAAAGCTAAAACGTATCGGATTACGAACCCTGCTTTTGTAATAAACCATGAATATTAGATTACTTCAAAAAGGAAACACGAAAATTGTTATAGTGTATTGCAACTCATCCTGTTCATCTGTAACTGAAATAGAGGTACATAGCAAACAGAAATATTTATAGTAAATATTTATAATGAAGTGTAGAATGAATTCCACATTTTATGACAATAACAAACTTTTCTAAAATGAAAAGATCATTGCTAGACATTACTTTACCACATATCTGCTAGAAAAACAGGAGATATTTACAAAGTCAATAACATTTTTAAGATGTAACAAATCATCAACTGTTAAAAAATGTCTAAATACTTTAAAGACAATAACTCAATTTGCCACTAAAATTATACTCAAAATTGATGAGCCAAGATTTCATATGAGAGCAATTTATGGTGGATTAGAATTTGTGTCAAACACTTGTCAATATACAATTCTGTACTCTTAACTGATTACGCAAAGCAACAGATGTGCGTCCATTCAAAAACTTTTCCCTTAAAATATTGGAAAACCTTGGCAGGGCTCTCGGCGCCTTTCAAAAGGATGTATAACACGCAAAAAACGACAAGAATTTATGAATTAATACCTCAATAACCAACCTCATAAAAAGGGATCAAAAAGAATAATTCTCCCCAACAATTACACATGACTAAATAAAAGACTATGACTAGGAAAGCAAAATTTAAAACTCTGAAATATATAAATTGAATGAAAAACACTAACACCAGCAAGGAAATTCCCTTCTGTTGGCTTGATTGCCTTCGAATACCACAGTATCCTTTCCGAGATCGTACTTTGGAAATCAGTTAAGCGTAAAACAGACTGAGTACATGCACCCATGTAACAGCTTTAGAAATGAATAACCGGTATAATTTTCAGACTTTTCTGTTAAGAAATATTTCACAAAACTCCAGAAAAGTTAGAAATATTATTGCGCAGACTGAACAGTTATCATACCTCCTGCGGACATGAAAACTGAGACTAATTTAAAATGAAGTACTTTCGGATACTGAACATCTCCTGACTATCCTTCATATAAAAATTAATGAGATATCGAGACCAGAGGTTGCACTCGTGAAAGAATTTCACATTTTATGACGCTTTACTTCAAAATTGTTGACATAAAATCCGACAAAAGTATCGCCTATATTATTGTATTATAAAGCGTAAATGAAGAATTTACATAGCAAAAGCAAACCAAATCTTCCACATGGAAAAATAAGACTTTGAATATGAAACATTAGTTTACTATTTCATCTTCTCACAATAAAGTTGTTTAAAATTTAAGAATTACAGACTGATACAGTGGACTATCAACATTTATTTATTGTTTCAAACCAAATTTTACATTGTTTTCAGACTTCATACAATATAAATAGAATAATAAAATACAAGAATTATGAGCAAATTTGCACTCATAAATCGATCAATAACATAAAATTCGCACAGATATAAAACTGATCTGATTACTGATTATTATGATTCCATCTCCATTTTCCTTTCATGTAGTCAGGTGCATATAGTAATGAAGTACATGGATGCTGCCCCTGTACTTCACACATGCACTCCCTTTTACACTTCTTTCCAAACAAAACCTGATCAGTTCTTAACATTTTCTCTAATCGTTCTCGTCTCAGTGACACTTTCGTTTTACCCAAAGTCGTTCGTATAATTTCTTCTACTTCCTCACGGCTTTTCCCTTCAAAATCGAATAGCACTTCACGACCATCATCTGCAATTTTCATTTCCTTCCATACAGTATGAATAAATGAACTACATTACAGTTAACTCGTTAATGACTAAATTCATGACATCATCACAGGAATGTGCTCAAACGATAAGACTCATAGCTATATCAATTCCATACGACAACTTAAAAGTATTCTATACGTTAAAAAATGAAGAGTTCTTTTTTTTCAAAAGTGATAATGAATTAGAGAGATGGAGGTTTCTATGATGACTGACAACGAATATTAAAGCATCAAAGTAAAAACAAAACTAAAGAATGATACTAAACAAAAATTCTCTATATCTACCTAAAAATGCTTTGCCGAAAGGTAAAACACTCATATCATTCAGTCGTACTAACTGAACGAATGGATTTTTGTATTGTAACTGAGCCCAATGCCAAAAAACAAATTCGACCACACCCTTATGCTGTTCACTTCGTGGATATTGTTTATAACCCAGAGCGAATACCTAAATGTAAGCTATTTCAACTTGACAATGAACATTCCCAAGACTGCTAACCTCAAAAAAATTCAAGCGAATTGAAAAACCAACTTTGACACAATCTCTGAACTGTATAGTGCCCTGTTCAAGATAAAGGTACGTGCGGCGCAATGGTATTGCTCCAAGTTTGAATGACATCACTGAAAACAGTGCACCGGTATCCAAAAACGAAAAATTTATTAATCATACATACTGTACTGAACTGCAATACAACACACAACCCACGAAATCTTGAATTACCAGCACCACATCGTCATGAGATACACTCATAACAATAACCAACTAGACATTCCCAAACACAATGGTCTTACTATCACATAACTACACTTCGAGACTTACTTTATGTTCAAGTAGCCTTATGTTCGTTGATACATGTACTTCATCTTACTGAGAAACATTAAATGAGAAACAATTTACCAATAGGAGAAAAAAACTCTTTATTTTAGCAATCAGAGCACAGAAAATTGAGAAAAAGGTCGGCAAGTTCGAGAGAACATGCAGTTACACATGTTCAGAATTTTATATGATTCACGCGAATTTCTTTCCAATATATCATAATATAAGCAGCAATGCAGTACAGTTGATCTTTCTTTATAACCCGCAAAAGAGGACAAGACGCTTCATTTACTGCAGCAGTTTATTCATAAACCACAACCAGGAAGCAAAATTACCCTGACAATTGCGGCTTTTGATAACAGAATAAGCTACAATATCTGCCAGTGTTGCAGAAAGATTTGGAGTAAGGTAATTATGGTGAGCTAAAGTAGCACTTATTTCGGAACACAGGTATTTTCTAGTAGTTCTACTGCATAAGACATCTTCTAAAATCGTCAACCATTTACTGATGCAGATGCAGGAACTCGGGTGAGTGAGAGGTGAAGGGTAAATTGAAATCAGTGAACCAAGAAACTTCCATAGTACGACACGATTTGTTACAGTTAATCCATCCAAGTAAATCATGGTTCCTAAAATCAAAAATTTTACAAACTCAGCGAATAGCCGCACTATAATGACAAGCCAAAAAACTGATCCAATTAACGCCTTAAATTGGAAATGCCATAAGGACGAAACTGCACCAGACTACCTTTTGCAATTTTAATTCAGTTATTTGAATAAAAAAGTAATAGTTACTATCAGATTTTTTAAGAATGATTGTATAACGAGGTTGGCCGTCTACTTGATTTAAACCAGAAAATAAGACGGAAGATCTATTAGAAACTTTCGCCAAACATTTTATCCAGATCTCATCGATATCAGTATAAAATAGTATAATATTATCGATGCGGCATGACGTAAAATCGAAAAAGGTCAGGGACGCAGTACCATTTTGGTCAGCATTTACCAAGAAGCGGGTCTAAAAATAAAACTTAGTCAGTTTACTACAATTCAATTTTCCTTTAATAACAAGCCCTATGACATCAAATACTTGTTCCATTCAATAATTTCAAAAATGATTTTCTAAACACAAATGAAGTGAATTTAAGTATAAATCTGGATCTATATGAAATACAAAATCTCTAAGGTTTCGAAATCTCACTTTTATATAAGAAAATTTCCTAGTTGCATTGTTTTTACCATTAAATTCATTACATTCCATTTTCTTGATTTTTTTTCTGTTTTTGTTTTCTGGTGCCCCATCAGATCCTGGAACCGTAAGCTTTTTCTTGCATCACATTCCGAATATATAGTCTCTGTTCAGTTTTATTCTACGTCAAATGTAAAACGCAGAAAGAAGACTTCTTTTGTAAAACATAGTGCTAATTCGAGAATGCACAAGGTTTTTCTCACCATCAAATGTCTTGCTAGATTTCGGAATCGGAAGACTTATTCCATTGCCAGATTCTGCGTTTGATTCAGAAACTGCAAGACTTTCGACAGATGCTGGATCAGATTTTAAAGAAAAAGCAGGTGCAGTAACTGATACTCCTTCTAAACGTGTGACAAATTCAAGCGCCTCAGCAATGACCTCTATTTGATTACTGAAAACGTTATGCAATGTGAGTTCATTAGCTGTTGTTGCTGCTGGCGTTGGAAGAGGTACATTCCCTACAAACAAATGCTATTAAAAACCCAAACTTAAAACTTTATTGATCAATATTATACTTGATTACTTGAATGGTAAATGATGTAAAGTGAAAATTATCAATTCCAAAAAGTAGAGTATACACTTACCAGATGGAGCAGAATGATAACTTTCCACATGATACAATATGTCAGTTGGCTGAGCATCTTCTTCACTCAGTTTCGTATACCGTTCAACTTCATATACCATTCCCAGTTTTGTTAGTTATGAGAGTCTGAGTTAGACACACCACAAACCACACACAATGAGCAAAAATAACATAGTTTAGTATATCCAGATTGCAACCGACGTCAAACTATCGCTTTTTGTTTTATATCCAATTTTACAGCTTAATACTTATATTTTCTGCACACTTAATTCTTTGAAATGGAATACTCCACATTATCACATACCATACTACCCATGAACAAAAGCAGCATTAGATATGGCGTAAAAATCTAGCATACCTCACTCACTGAAAGTTGAATCAAGTCGTAATTCATCCAAAAATACGTGCATAACTTCCTTAATTTACTCCTAATGAGTGGTAACTGTTCTGTTCCGTAATATCCATAGATCATATCGTACAATTAATCATATTTTGAAGTATTAATAAACAGAAAATAAACCAATAAGAGGGAATTATTTAACTTGCTTTGATCTAATCATACTGTACTGAAAAATTCTTCCGTTCCATTTGGGATTTAAGGAAAGATTAAAGCGTTTTCCATTTAATGCCGCATTTAAACCATAGCATTGTACGGTGCTGTGAAAGATTTTAGTGAAGGCATATTAGCACCATGTTTATTTCAAAAATTTTTCAACACAGCATTTTAAACTTCTCCGGTTTTCAAATATACGAAAAAATATTGCAAAAAATCTGTACATAACAGCAAGTGAAAAAAAAAAAAGAAAGGACACTTTCAAATATAAATTATTATAATGTTTTTGTGTGTCATTATTCCGTTCAATTTTCTAACTTTTTATGTATATTAAATTCATCCGAACGTATTTTTAAACAAAAACACGTTTGAAATAAATTTGTGTTGAACGGTATGAACAATTTCCATGTAAGTATTATACTATGTGAAAAAAAATCGGCAAAAAAGACGCCTTCTAATGACTATAATTAGCTCTGCAAGAACGAATTCGTGATACGAAAAATTTTGAAATGGTTGAAAAACTTTGTTGTGTCTTCAGAAATTTGACATCAGATTATAACTGTTGAAAATACAACACACAATAACACAAAAGGCGCAGTTCACTGAGCAAAATATTCAACGTCGACTTTCTCTAGTAAAAAAAACAGTTGAAACAAAACGACAACAGTTGTAGTTGACAACTTTTTTCTGACAAAGTAGAACTGAGTAAATGAAAACAGAAAGTCGAAGGAGAATCATTCAAACTAAAGCATTGTTGCGAGAACTATAAAGTTGTAACGAGGAGATCGTCATCAGGAGCTTCCTGTGATGGTGCGGGTCGCAAAAGTGCCCGTGCCGAATATCTATTAAAATCTCGTACTTCAGAGCGTTCCATACCCAAATGCTCCATGTAACGTGCATCTGCTAAAGTTGCTGCAGCACTTTCAAGCTCAGATTCTTCTAGTGAATATGCTGAAAAAATTGACGCAACTATTTTTTTGTTCTTATTGAAGTATGCATATTTGTGTAAATGAAGTACTTTGTAATATTAAAATACCTTCAGCAATTTCACGTCGAGCTGCTTCAACAACACGTTCATCCATATACCTACCAAGGGCAAGAGCTTCCCCAACAAGTCGTTCTGTCAAACTTTCTCCGTTACCATCTGCTGCCCTCAACGCCGTCCTAGTTGAAAATGGTAATCGTACTGATTTTCCATCCGGAGCTGGTCTAAATTTGATTTTTTGTTCACAAAATTCGTGGATTACTTCTTAGAAATTAATTAGAAATGAAGAACGGAACGATTGAAAAGTACTACCTGTAAGTGCCTTCAAAAGCTTCACTTATATCGGGTGGCAAACCAGCGATAACCATTGCTTGATTTCTGGCCAGTGAGAAAGATTTCTTTAAACCTTTTTCAGATATGGCGTCTCTCATCCATGTCTCGTCATTCCGAAGTCTGCTCGGATCTCTTCTCTCATACCATTCTTCCGTTTCCACTGGCATGCTTCAAGAAAAAATCCCAGCATTAATTTTTCACAAGAAAATGAACTGAATATTAGTGGAAATTATCAAGAATGAATAAATTTAAAGATATGGCGCATAAATGATGATGAATCTCACTACATTGTACTTTTAAATTTTAAAAGTAAAGCAAACTTTCTGTTTGCTGATAAGTAGAGATGTTGGGTATTAATAGGAAGCCGTGTCATTTGTAGAGAATCGTTTCCTAATAACTTTCCACCGAAAGAAGTATTTAATGGAGGTAGTTTGGGCAACCGTCGCTGTAATACACCACCATTGGAGCGTGCGGATGGCGAGATTGTGAAGGAACAGTTGGCTGATATACCGCTGTGAGCTGTGAGTGACATCACATCGTTACCATGCAATGAATGTGTTGGTGATATTTGCTGATGATTACCTTAATTACTAATTATATTATAGCTTCATCATCATTGATCTCATTAATAATCTCACCTAAAAAACTAAAAATATGGTAAACAGCTACGCAAACTTCATGTTATACTGCCATTGTTAAAATTATAAGTAATTCATTAATTTGACTTGAAACACAAATATCGAAATTTGGTTATCTTTACATTGATTTGAAGCTTGTAAAATAGTTTTGTCTAAAACTGACCATATCTATGAAATTGATCACAACTGTTAGAGAAGGCAACTGTTAAAAAATAAGAAACAATAAATAACATTATACACTACTCACCAATCATTGGCAACAATCGAGATGCTCGATCTTCACGATATATTTGATTGGCTCGAGTAGAACCGCCAAGAGCAGAAATAATGTTATTGAAAAGTGAATGTGGACGCTGGAATTAAATCATTTTCATACTGATGTAGGCAAATTATGAAAAATGAAAAAGTTTAGAAAATAAATGAAAACTACTCTATGTTGCGGTTCCTCAATATCTAAGGCAAAATCGGTTTCAAGATTGCCAGAAATAGCTCGTTTAAGTTCTGGTCCAATTTCGTGTAACGTTCTTAGTCCTGCTTGTAAAGCCATAGCCTGCGAAGTTTGCTGTGGAACGATTCCTAAAATTGTTTCGTGTGACTCACGAAAAATCTAAATTCTTTCGTTTTCACCGTCAAATTTTGAAGCTTCGAGATCCACTAATTTCATTCCTAAGTTATACTATGGTTAACCTTTCGATTCCAGTTCTTTTCTTTTTTTGAATCTTCGGAAATAATCCTGAATTAAAAATGTTGCATAAAATTTTCCAACCGTAACATCATCATCTCCTAAAATACAATAATGATATAGTAGCAATTTTTTACTTCAAAATATTTTTTTGGTAAAATGAAACAATAAATGTCGAAGATATTTAATGCTTATAAAATCTATCACTCCTGAGCATAAGTTAAATGAAGTCAGCAATTAATGCTGACTTCATTTAAACTAACTACTTATGCTCAGGAGTGATAGATTTTATAAGCTAACACAAAACTTTCATATGATGTTAGTATTTAATATGATAAGTTCTTCAATATACTGCTTTCAACTTTTGTTCTTTCTAATCAAAGGATAATTTACTTCCTGCAGGAGGAACCACTTCATCAAGCATTTTTTGTGGTGTACGCTTCCAAATTCGACGAATAGCTGACCGCAACTGTTCATTAACTTCATCAATGTTACCTTCTGTGTAAATTTTCAAGTTTGTTCGTACCAATGCAAACAGTGTTGCATTAAAACAAACTGTACCATCCGAATTCAGAGGCATATTCATCGAAACCAAGCGCTATAACTTCTTTTAAATACAAACTCAGTGGAAATCATACGAAACCGGTTTTAATGACAATAAAAATTTGGAGTTATTGTATTCAAGTCATATGCTATCCATAATTTGTAACCATATTTATAAGTCTAATTATAAATGAATTTACAGCGAAAAAATTCGATTGAAATGATTGGATAACTCAAAAACTTTCTTTTAATTCAGTACATAATTGATTACTTTGATACTAAAATTGGACCGATAAACTTTCGAACTATTATACTGTGCTAAACAAATTTATTTGAGGATCTTTTCGACAACAAAACATTTCAGTTTGTCACTTCACTTCACAGTTTAGCTTAAATATAATTAACTCTAATTTGGTAAAAATACCTTGCAAGCCAGCCGATGTGGACATAACTTGCCAAAGCCTAATGGAGGAGAAATTTTGCGCAGTAATGTCACAACATCTAAATGTTTTATACGCCCTTTGGCATCAGGATCATATTCTGACCACAAGCGCACAAATTCCTCAAGATGATGCGGACCAAGAATACTCCAATCTCGAGTCAAGTAGTCAAAATTGTCCATGATAACCGCCACAAACAAATTAATGACCTTAACAAATACCACTGAGTATTTAATGACCTTAAGCATATTTTTTAGCAGACAATAAAATATTATATTAAATTATTTTATTTTACTAACAATTAATCTATAAGTTAAACTTACCAAAAAAGAACAAAGCATAAAGAATGAGATGAAATATGGATAAGCAAAATCGACTCCACATTTCGCATCTGGATTTTGCTTGTAATCATCACTGGCTGGATCACATTTAACCTCATCTCTATCCGAACAAGAAAGCATAATTTCTTGCCAAGCTTCACCAGTTGCAGATCTGTCATAAATACAAGCATAAAATCCTTAAGCTAAATTGACCATAAAGTATGAATAACAAATACCACTGAGCATTTATATATTTTTAAATGAAATATTCAAAGAAAGTACCGAAAAAGGACGAGCACAGCAGCTGGAAAAGTGTGAAAATTGTTGTTACGATGAATATGAGTTTCATCGTTTAAAGCTACTTTTCCAAATACCTGTAAGACTAAATTTTGTAGATGACAAAGCTCAGATAAAGATTATTCTTTCTGTAATCAAGCAGATAATAACACTACCAGTGCTTTTTTTTATAAATTAGAGCAAAGAGGCAAAATTATTGTAAAGCATTATAAGACAGGAATGAGAATAATAATTAATACCTGCATCCCAATAACAGCATAGATAAAAAATAATAAAACAATTAATAGGGCAACATATGGTAGGGCCTGAAATGATAGAGCTTAAAATGACTTGCTTACATTAATATCCTCAAGAATTTCTGAATAAGTTAAAGCAACCTGAAAACTTTTCATAAAAGTCCATAGCAAGGTGCGAATTCCTTCTCCTCTGCTTAGCAACTTCACCAATCTCATAACACGAAAAAGGCGAAAAAAATTAATGCTTATAATATTTGAGCCCGGTGAAAGCTTCCCATAAATAATATCAATGAAAGAGCCTAATACGATAACAAAATCGAAAGCGTTCCACCTGAAAATAAAAAACTATGTAAATAAACAATTTATGGTAAACTATAGAAATAAACAACTTTTCTTTTTGATTTGACTGAGTGAATAATTAGAAATTTAGTGATAAAATTTCGAAAAAACAACGAATTATAATTTGATAATATGAAAAAATTTAGTCAACATTTCTCCACTCAGTATTACAGCTGGTAACACTTCCGAATGTTACGTTTTTCAAATATTCCGAAAACTGTGATGAATTATGCTCATGCAAAACAAAAATTCGATATTAAAATACCATGAAGTGTGGCAGTTAAAGCTGTATTTCATAGCATTTTAACACCAAATAATACTACTAATAAACAATTTTGATGTTTTTTCACAAATATCATAAAATTAAACTTGACGAAAAGCTTATCTGTCTCCAAAATAATTTTTGGGATTTAAGGCAATGATCTTAAATACTGCTTCAAGAGCAAAAACTCCAGTGAAAATGAGATTGAGCACATCTAGTACATTGTCCATGCCAGGATCTGGAGGATAGTGTTTCATCGCCAAAGTTGTGGTATTTAGCAAAATAATAATGAATATGATGTATTCAAAAAACTGTGACGTTACGAACCACCAAACACGATACTGAAAGCGATTGCGAGGTATATATCGTCGATGTGGTTTTGCTTTCAATGCAAATTCTATGCATTTGCGCTGCAAAAAATTTTCAAAATAATATTTATGAAATTGAAATCAGTTCAGTCAAATTAAACACGGGTAAAATTTAAATATATTCCTAAACAGAATCAGTTGAACAACAATGCACAAAAAGAAATTTGATAAATTGCTTAAATTTGGCGAGTGTTATCGTTTTTGTAATGCTTACTTGATTTTTATCCAGTTCACAATTTTCATATTCTCTTTCACCTTCATTTTGGAAAGTAACAATAACGAAACCAACGAAAATATTCATCATGAAAAATGCAATAACAACAATAAATGTAATAAAGAATATAGCAACTGCTTGACGAGCATTATATACAGGGCCATGGTCTTCTTCGTTAGAGTTTATGGCGACATATAACAAACTGAAATTATGATTAATTTGAAAACTGAATAGTTCTACCCTTCATTACCTTGAAAAAGTTTCAGAAATCTGAGATAAGTACTTTTCAAAGCATTGTCACTAAGACAACTTTATGAAAGTATTAATTATTCCAAAAAATTAACAAATTTTCAGTACTGTAATTTGCATTGTTTAATAAACTGAAGATGTTTTGCAGACAGATATAAAGTTTAATGAAAGTAATTCTGGATGGTTGAAAGTGTTGAACATATTTGTAAAACTTTTGAAATGGATTTGAAAAATAAAACTTACTCAGGCCAACCTTCAAAGGTAGAAACCACAAATAAGGAAATCATAGCATCACCGACATTATCAAAATTAAAATCATTCTTAATCCATTCACGTTTCATTCGATGTGGTTTTAGTGGATCACCATCTTCATATGCCAAAAATTCACCTCTATAACAGATTACAAGTGAAATCACGAATAAACATAATAAATAGTGAACAAAAATGAATAAATTATCGTAATACAGTACATAAGTTTATTGAAAGAAACCAACCTGCACTCGTACTCAGTCATCTTCGATTCATCGGTACAACGGAAAAATGTACCTTTAAAGAGCTGTACACCAATAATAGCAAACATGAATTGCAACATAAATGTAACCAACATAATGTTACCAATTGTTTTTACCGCAACAATAACACATTGTACAACATGCTGCAAAAAATTTCGTCTTTTCCTAATAGGCAGAACATGTGATTGCTTAAATCACTTCGTAAATTATTATTAGATTTGATTCTGATTAATAAAAATAATGCTTCACAAAAAGTAAGATGTATTAAAATAACCTTTAGACCTTTGGCCCGATTAATTGCTCTCAACGGCCTTAGCACTCGAAGAACTCGAAGAATTTTAACTACAGAAATAGCATCGGATTTGAGGACGAAAGACACAAGAGATACGGCGACAACAAGGATATCCAATAAATTGAATGCATTACGACAAAATGAACCTTTGTGAAATATCAGTCCATAAACAACCACCTTCAGCGTTATTTCAACGGTGAACACAGTAGTGAAAAAGTAATCGAAATAGTTCAAAATCTAAAAAATAATGCCATTCTATATAGACATATGCAATTATATAAAAGTGATGAAAACATAGTTAGTAATATGATCATATATGATATTATACATATATCTTATTTAGAGAAGAGTTTAATTTATTTTACAGGCAAATAATTCTATGTCAAATAAATGAGTTAATAAGCAGACGACATAAAACTGAAAAATGTTGGACAGTTTTTACTAGGCTCATATACACGAAGATAGTTGAGTAAAACGAAAATTCAAATAACTCACTGTATTCCGAGGTGATTGCGCTTCTAAAGGATCTTCTGCCGCAAGCATTGCACTAGACACGAGAATACATATTAGTACACTATTTGTGAAGTAGGAGTGATTAACAATTTTATTACAAAATACCCTGTAATAATTCAAATTATCAAAGAAAACAATACACACAATACACAACTAAATCTTGCAACAAATTAAAATCAAAAACAGCACTTGTAGTACATATAAGAACAAATTTTTCTTCCTATAATTAGTTACTTTTGGCATATAAATTTTCGAAGATAATACGTTACTTTTCAATTTTATTTTCCCACCATTCATTATTTACTTAAACAAATTAAAAAATATCGCAAATTTTTATAAAAGCCTTAACCGGAAAGGATTTGTGTGAGAAAGAATGAATAATGATGAAGCCTTTGGAATTGGTTTCTGTTGTTTGGCAGTAATCAATTCTGACATTCGACGTGGTCGTGCAGTAATAATCTCTCCACATTCCTCGTCTTCTTCCATAACTATTCTTTAAAAAACAAACGAATATTAATCGGTATAAAATGCTTTAATAGTTGTGGTCATGATGTAAGAATTTTTTTCACAACACAGAATGTCACTAAAATATAAATGTTTTATAATAATAAGTGAAATGTATTACATAGATTGACATATACTCCGTTTGAGAATACGCTAATAAAAACTTAACATGCAAAAATATCTTCTCATTTCAATGCAGGTTACAACAATAGTAAGCAATTCCTGAGCTGGACTGTACTAAACTAAACTAAACTAAACTGAAATTTGCTGATAATTTCAACAAAATATAAGTTAGAAGCAATCACAAGCAAACCTGCTATTATCTCTTCCTTCTTCATTACCATTTTCATCATATTTTTCGTCTTCGTAGTCCTCTTCTGCCACTTCTTCTTCAACTTCTAAAATTTTGCTTTTATTTTCCTGAACTACACATATCATATAAAGTTCGTGAATTTTTCTTCAAACACTGACAAACTGCAAATTTTGCATATCAAAATGCTTAGCAAGTATTTGGGAGGTTAATGAGAAAGCATATAATACATATACCTGCTTGTTCTTCCTCTTTTTCTGCATTCGTTAAACTGTCAGCATCAGCTAAGTTATCAACAGCAATGGCAAGGAAAACATTGAGCAGTATATAATTACCACAAATAAATAAAACAATATAATAAATAGAGACGAGTACACCCCACGAGCCGACTCCACCAAATGATGCAATACCGTTATACATTACTGTATTCCAGTCTTCACCAGTTAAAATCTGAAAACATACATCAAACTTCTTGTAAAAAATAGAAAAATACATTTATTCTTGATCTGGATCTTAATAACGTCAATAAACGCTTAATATTTTGCGTCCATAATGCCAAGAACTATGTGATTTGTCAACAGTGATCGCTCAATTTCACTTTTTATGAGCATTAAACATAAAAAGACATTTGAATTCATTAAAACTAATTTCATGCACTTTCAATAACTTGCTCTGAAATGGCTCTTTTACTAGTAATATTTTATAATTGTAATTATGCAAACTATGTATTCGCAAGATTCGTAGTTTAACATTTTACATTTAAACTTTATTATACTTAAAGGGGCTTCAAAATGATAGCATTAGCTTCTCTCAATATTTTATTTGAAAAACAAAATCGTTGACTTACCTGAAACACTGTTAATAGCGCTTGGTTGAAAGTGTCAAAGTTTGCTCGGGGCTTAGGATTCATTGGATTGAAATTGAATTTGCCTCCGAAAACCTGCAAACAATACACGCTTTATGTAACAAAATTACTTAGAAGTTAACATACAAATTTTAAACTTCAGCACAAATAAAATCTAAAAAAGGAAATGAAAACAAATGACTACCAATCAAACATCCTCAAAAACACTTTATTTTATTATCATTCAATTTGTTGCTAATTTATTCAGCTTTTAATAATAATTTAATTTTGACCTGCATTCCAAGTAGAGCGAAAATAACAATAAACAGAAATAGAAGTAGCAGAAGTGACATAATGGAGCGAAGAGAATTGAGCAGAGATGAAACAAGGTTGCGTAAAGAGGTCCAATATCTGAAAAAAGATGGTATCTAAAACTGCAATTTAAAAGTCACAGTTTTAAACAAGTCTTTTAACCTTGATTCCATAATGGAATATGCAGAATTGTAGGAACGAAAGTTATAAGACAGAAATACTTTAAAAATGTTTTTAAAAGATTGCAACATACAATCTAAGAACAAAATGATGACAAATTTAGCAACGACAATTCTCGATAAATCTCATACTTACGAAACTAAAAAATATTTACAAAATAAAATGATATATAAAACTTATCAAAATTTTATTTTCAAAATTCCCCAGAAGATCTACAGCTCCCAAAATATTTCAGAAACGAAAAATTAATAATTTTGAGAACGATCTTGGCTTACTTCGTAACTTTAAATATTCTAAGAAGTCGAGCTGATCGCAGCACAGAAACACCGAGTGGTTTCATCAAATCAAAATGAACAAGAACAAATTCGATGATAGAACTAAAAATAGATACTGAAAATTGTATTTTACAGTATTCATAAAATCATTGTATTTCTCTAGCAAAAAAGATTTTGAAAAAAAAGTGAGAAATCATTGTTCAATGACAAACCTTATGACAACAAAGCAATCAAATCTGTTGAATTGTGATGTGGTATAAGTAGTCAGACCAAGTGAATACATTTTCAAGATCATTTCCATCGAGAACAGAATAACGAAAAACAAATTTGCAACTGCTAAAACGCTTTTTGATGAAAACTACAAGAAAATTTAAAAAATAAAATTTTTTTTTCCGCTTCATGAGTTTAAAAATTTGATTGCTGAATAGATAAAAATACACATCATTGTTCTAGCTCATTAACAACATGCTCAGTTATTAAATCAGTGGTGAATGGTTCATGCAAGCAAAAAAAAGTATACATTTAATAGCTTTCAGCATTCAAATTCTAGTAAGAATATCAAAATGAAAAAAATAAAATCAATCTAGTATATAATAATTGTAACCAAATTAACAGCAAAAACAACAGAAAAATTTTGTTTCCAATAAAATGGTTTCGAAGCCAATCTTCTATATTCCAGTAAGTGCTGTCAAGTATGAAGCAGAATAGAATCAAATTTTCTCTATTCGCAAAAAGTTAACATTTTTCTAAAGTTTATAAATGAAAATAACTGACTCTGAAAATGATCTAGCCATGGTTCTTGCTTGTAATGTTCCGTAGTTAGCACAAGTGTATTGAGTAAAACGAGAATAATTACAAGCCAATAAAATGTTTGAGATTTCACTAACCTGAAAAACTAATCAAACTAAAACATTAACGATAAAAATAGTTTAGCAGTTACTTTATCCTAATTAAATAAAATAAACAAAAATAAATTATTAGCTACGATTACTACGGAAATATAATAACCTTCGACAACCACGTCGACATCGACGATTAAGCTTTTGCATTCTTCGAAGTTTTTTCTTCCACCACGAAGGTCTTGAATCATCCGTTTTTTCATCAACTTCCTCATCAAGCTCTTCCCCTTTATTTTTTAAATCTAACTTTTGTTTTTTAATGCATTTCGTCTCATTCTATTATATTTAATTTGTGGAGAAATGCAATACTTTATTTGACACTGAATGATTAATTTTTTAGAGCAAAAAGTTTCTGCAAACTGAATATTTTTCAAATTTTTTCACAATGCTATATCTATATATGTGCTTTCAGATAATACTCAATTAAAGCACACCGTTAAACTGCTGTTCATCTTCTTGCTCATCATCATTCACAGGCTCGATATCTTCTGCTTGATTAATCCAGTCCAAATAACCCTTAGAAATTGAAGATAATTTAAGCTTTTCCTAATGAATATTTTTTTATCTCTGAATGCGGCATTATTAAGCTTGTACTTTTTGTTCAAATGATACTAAAAACTAACTTTCAAATCTTCCTCAAGCTGCTGTTTTTCTCGAAATTTTTGGAAAAGACCACGAGCTCTAGCTTTTTCTCTTTCTTTAGAAAATTCTCTAGAATAAGCTTGACTTATTGTTTACCATCTTATCTGTTTAACTTTTACTAAATACGGTCTAGTACAAAAATTCTAAGAGAAAAAGACATTTTTAAATGCAATGTACGAACCCAGAAAGTACACCAAGGACCAAGTTCAAGACAAAAAATGATCCCAAAATAACTAAGGTTACAAAATATATCCATGGCCATTCCCGTCCAACTGCATCATTGACCTGAATTGAGATAAAAATGAAGTTTGGACTAAGCTATGTTTTGTGAAATATTAGCTTGAAAGTAAAATGAATAGTTCTACATTTATCATCATATTATCAAAAAAACCAGATTAGGTAATATAATGGTTTGCTAATTGATTATTATGATGTCTCCGTATAAAATGTCTAGTTTTCTTCAACATTTATTTGATACCTGATTTGTTACCATTCATTAAATTGAAAAAAAAATTTTGAAAAAATTTGCCTGAAAAATAGCTTGCGGATAGTAAGCAAAGAAAGAAATACAAATGAAGTAAAAAAGTAATTATGCAAGAATTTTTTAATTGCAACACATACGGAAGCAAAAAATCTATTTTATCTATGCTCACATGTCATTCAGAATGAGAAATTTTAGATGAATAACAGAAAAAAAATTTACATACCCAGTACATTACATCTGTCCAACCTTCGAGTGAGACGCATTGAAAGACAGTTAACATGGCGAGACCAAAGTTATCAAAATTTGTTATCCCATTATTGGGACCTTGCCATGAAGTATTTGATGTACAGATCCAATTCACTCCTTCATAATAACCTAACAAAAAAATATCACATTAAAGTAAAAAATGAAAAATGAACTGCTCACAAACTTATTTCTGATATCACCTTGTGATATCAGAAATATTTAAGCAATCTAATAGAAATCAGTTTAATATTTTTCAGGATAAAATATGCATGACTTTCTGAAATATGTCAAGTCTCTTAGGAAAGATAGTTTAGTAGATGAAACTCATTTATCTATGTTTCTTGACATTAAAATGCTTGGAATAAGAATTATTCATGCCTATTTGATCTATGTAACATGCGTTCATATTCATTACTTAAAATTTTTCTCTTCTTGATAAAAATTTCAAAGTACCATTTGGCTGGCAGTGAAAAGCGGAGGATGCGAAACCACACGTGGAAGGGGTATGCTGTGCTAATTGTCCTGTTGCAGGGTCTAAGCTAAAATACATCTTTAATTGAATGAAATTTTAAACCCGAATTTAATTTTCTTTCTGCTTAATAATAACAATATATAATTAATGACATCTGCAATATTTTTTACAAGTTATAATTTTTAGCTTTCTGAAATTATTAATTACTACTAACCAAGTTGAATGAAGTTTGCCACAGAATAGCTCAAGACCAATTATTGCGTAGATAATTATAACAAACATTACCAACAACGCGATATGAAGCAGTGGAATCATAGCACGAAGAATTGCGTTTAACACAACTTGTAAACCTTTAATTTTTGTTAATTGAATACGCGGGATGGGAAGTAAAGTTTATTATTGCATGAAAGAGTAAAGAAGTAATTAAGAAGAACAATTATGCTAATAAAGTGATGAACTTACTAGGCACTCCAGAAACAAGACGTAAAGGACGAAGGACTCGAAATGCCCTAAGAGCCTTAACATCAAAACCCTGAATATTCATCCTGGACAACGCCGTACTCACTAATCTATAATTTTATTCATTGGACTGCTTATAATTTACAATAATTAGCTCACAACTATTACAACTTTTTCTAGAAAATTCAAAAAATGTGCACTGAGATTTACCCGATGACAACAATGATGAAATCAAGAATATTCCATGCATTCCTGAGGTATGCGCCAGGATGAAATAAAAATCCTAATGCAATAACTTTTAATATGCATTCTATTGTGAATACAATTATGAACAGATACTCTATTTGCTCCTAAAATAAAATTTCAATTAAATTAAATTGTGCACATGAAATTTACCAGTAATTAATATTACTATATCAAATATTTAATATCTTGTTTATGCTAAATAGCACCAAAAATAGTCGAATAGTGCTAACATTCGTTTATGAAAATCCCGTTTCGAAAAAAAAAGCATGCAAAAATGAAGAGCATGAATAAAAACCCAAGATTTAAAAAACTAACCAAGATAGTATTTTTAGTATCAGAATCTTGAGCAGGATAAGGTTGGTAAACAGCTAATGCAATACAATTTGCACATATCATTAGCAGAATTAGCCACTCAAAAGGCCTGAAAATTAAAATATCTACTATTGTAATGATAGATGATTACTAGCTGTAAAAATAAACGTACTAAAAATTAAAGTCAACTGAAGGAGAGAATTAGAAAGCCCACTGAAAATATTACAGCATAAGGTATTAATTACTTGCAAATAATTTTTTCAACAATAATAGATAAAAATTTTTCTACTAAGAAATGCATGAAAAATTATTAAGCTTGACCTCCACTCAACAACTGTTATGCAAGCCTTCCTGAGAGGATTGGAGAGAGTGAGACACAACAGTGAACGTTCACTTCTCTCAACGACATTAGTTTGTCGCATTGGTTTACGCTGCTGTTGTCGTTTTTTCGCAGCTTCGGACTGCGAAGTTGCCGCAACTGCTGCCTGTACACAATTATGCGCAAGTTATTTTAATACCGCAATAACATTAATATTAAGCGTAAAATTAATAATGCTATCGCTACAGTAATATTATATTTCTTTTTTCAAACAAACATTTGTAAATAAATAAGGATTCAATGAAAATTTCGAATTTAATATTGTAAAAATAAATGAAAGCGTACTTGAAGCGTTTGTTGCCACAAATCAGATTTGTGTGTGTCATCCGCATGATGGTCGTCCTCCTCCGCTGAGGACGCCATCATACTGGCCAGCACTGAAATATTTCGGATTAAAAAAAAGCGAAAAAAAATCAAGACATAAAAATAATGCAACATTTCCATTTGTGATTTTTTAATTAATAATCTTACCAATAACAAATAAAGCACCATTATTACGTGCGATATGATATTGAAGAATTTCACACTCTTGAAAATACATGATGCGTAATTGAGTCAGAAGTGAAAAAAGTGAATAACTTCGTGATTTTAAATATTTAAATAAAAATGTACGCAAATACAACACATTAAGTGGGATAAATGGTGCCAATATTTGAAGTAAGAAACAAATGGGAACTTTTTATGCCACAAATTATCAAAACACTGCTTATTCATTATTTATTGTAGCTTAGCTTACGCTCCACATTACATCCTTTTTAACACCCCAATGAGATGAGATGACATATAGAAAAGAATGAAAAATATGGAGATGAAGAATACTGAAATATAATACAATGAAAGTAACACAAATTCTGCTATTTGCATCATTCTAATTTGAAAGTTTAGCTCTTGACAAGTTAACTAATCTTGGGTTAAGAATGTAGTTTTATTTTCTATTCCGTTAAAAAAATGACATACGGAGTGAAAAGTTTTTCAAAATTGAAATGTCAAAATCACAAACATGAAATGCAAAATTCTATTAAGAAGTGAATTTGATTAACTTGAAATAAATACTCAATTTGTAATAAAACTGCTGATTAGTTACAATTTCCAAAAATAAACTCTGTTTTATGCAATTGAAAGAATAGATTTCATGGTTCAAGTAGAGTATATGTTTACAAAAAATTCTGCATATTATTAAATATCCTTTTATTTTTGAAAAAAAAGTGACTATGATCTATCATTTTACATACTATTTAATTCACAAAAATGATATCAAAAACTACTAACAGTATATGAAGATTAATATCTCTTCTAAATGATTTTAAAGTTTGAAAAAAAAAAGAATATATCAGCAAAAAATTGGTTACTATAGATGAAGTTTGCAGCAAGGTGCATGTACATTGTATAGCTATCCACTGAAATTATTATATAACTGAATTTATATGAAAAAAGATGGATTCTGTAAGAAAAACAGCAACAAATACTTCAAAAATCATTTATATCAGTCTACATGCTCATATGCTTATCTGCTTTTAAGATAAAAAATGCATTTGTAGTCTTGAAAAAGGAATAATACTAGTTATGATTATATTCACAACATATGATAGCTTATATGCTAATTACACGAATTAATACATAATAACAACTGTACTTCTAGAAGTGATTAGAACGACAGCACAAGTTTTGGTATCATTCTAATCATTTCCAAGAGTTCAAGTGTTATTTATTTTTGACATAAAAAAGTTAGAAATAAATAACACGGTAAATATCAACAAAAAAAACTCCTAAGCTTTGATATTCAGGTTCTTTCAAAAAATGCTTAAAAACTCATTATCATTACTTCTACTCATAAGGATGAAATAAATCAAGTTTTTTTAAGGTAGAAAGAAGATAATAGAGTCAAAAACGAATATACCAGCAACTTTTGATATTTTGAAGAAAGAATATGATTATGATAATTGAACATGTGATTGATTTAACTGAATGAAGTACATCATTCTATACACATTAAATCTGATCTTCATTTAAAGAATAAATGTTCCAACGACCCGTGAACACTTTTTGATCAGACGCATAGAATATAAAAACTTGTGCAACAGCTTGGGCTTTACCTCTTTCCAAAAGATTGAACCAGAGTTCCGTGGCATAGTTGATACGAGTATTCGTACCTTTGAGCAGTTTTCAAGAAAAATAGAAAAAAAAGATTAAAATAGAATGGAAAGTATTATAATTCCTTCATGAACGATACATTTCCTCAGAAGTTGGCAACTTTTTAGTCATCTTTTACATATTAACTAACATCAACATTTTGCAGCCATTCTTTCATGAATATATGCATTTCTAATCCTACTTTTTATTCATTTTTTGATAGACAGATGTATTTCTGATCACTTCACTTCAGCTACTTTTTTTTATTCTTTCGTGACTTATTCTCTACATTACAGTAGTTCGTAAAATTAAAAATTTGGAGTAAAATAGTACACCAAAGCTGAGTTTGTAATTTTCAGTATACAAATAATGATTAGTAAAAATGATAGCCTATCACAGTCAAGAGTATCGAGATATTATAACATAATATTAATTATAATTTCAATTTTATATATATTTAATTGCATGTTATGCATAAAAGCAAGCTAGCTATGAGAGATAAAAGCGTTTTTCAGTTTTGCTTCCGACCTCCAGTATTCATAAATTTTGCATCATTTTTTGCCCCAAAATCCTATAAACTGATACCTGTTTTATGAAATGTACCAAAAATTATGAATGTTTGCACCAGTACACATGTATTGATGCATGATAGCTGATAATTATCATTGAATATTAACTGCATAAAGGTGGATGAGAATTTTTCAGAAGTTACTAATATTTTAACCAATTACGGTTAGCTTCATTTAATCATATTCTTTAATAATGATGATAATAAATAATAAATGAAAACATTCGTGCTTAATTATTTTTGCAACATGTCAAAAAATCTGAATTTGTACTATTTCTTGAAATAAACTACTTTTCTTGTAGGAAAATAGTTCTTAACAAGTGAGAATAAAAGAACCTGAAAAATAGACTGAAAAGCGCAAAGAGAAGCGCACAAATTAAATACAGATTTTACACATTTCGAACACAAATTTTCGTTATTTTAAGTTTTAGCTAGTCAGTTATTATTTAATTATATTCAAATTCAATATTTTTAATCAAACTCATAATTGCTTACTTTTTGTCGTTGTTACATTTTGGTGGAAGGTATTTTTATAAAGTTTGCAATCAATGACTTGCATAAACTAATATTTAACAGTTAAAACCGAGTGCAAGAAATTTGTTATTGCCGGAAAAGGAATGAGATTAGAATTCAGTAGCATAAAAGATGAAAGGAAGGAATTAATCAGAACTGCAAGTAAAAATCGAATTAGCAGTTCTTATTTTAAGCAACATTGAATAAGGTTTGATTCCGTCAACAACAAATCTAACCTCCATTGAATCAGAGTGTAAAAAGAAAGAAAGAGAAAAAGATAAATAAATAGATAGATAAATAAGTAAATAAATAAATAAATAAATAAATAAATAAATAAATAAATAAATAAAGGAAATAAAGAAAGAAAGATATGAAGAAATAGTCGAAATCAGAAAAGTATTTCAAAGTTAAGAATACTTGATAATTTATTAGTTAAGGACAGTGTTGCTTGGAATTAATGATTTAAACAGTAAGAATTATATGGCTCATGTAAGCAATCATTAAAGACGAAAACAAAAAAATAAATGAAATTGGCCAAAGCAACGGAGTGTTTAAGTGAGAGAAAGGTTGTATACAGATGAAACTTTTGTCGTATAAATAGAGATCTCCGTACGACTTAATGAAGAGATGGAATATAATACGAGAATATAGTTGAGAGAAATGATCTCGAGTATTTGAGTAATGAATTCGCTGTTGCCAAACTTGAGCATTTTATACTTAAGCTAAGAACTCACAGCATACAAAAGGTAGAAATAAAAGTTTGCTTTCTTATAAGCAATGAATGAGCTGTTGGTCGGATTTGAAATAATGCCTTTTTCCATAAATTAAGACAAAAAAAGAAGCATTTCAAGCATCTGAGTATTCATTTTCTGAAGTGATGGTGTGTGTATGTGTGTGTGTGTGTGTCTGTGAGCGCGTATGAGTATGTGTGGGAGGACGAAACAAAGGAGTCTGAATCATCAGATTCCCCTGAGAGGGATGTTTGCTCAATATTACTGGAATTATAAGCTTTCTTTTACCAAGTAAAGTCCATTCATGCCACAAAAGCTGTTTTCAGCTTCTTTATTGTTGTTGTCTCTGTTGAATTAAAAAATCTGTTAAAATAACTCATTTGCTTAGAAGAGGAAAGCATTTGTTCGCCTGTTTTCAGTCCTTCAAAACTTTACATTATAGAAGCTTAAATTTCTTTCAAGTTTATCATTCATGCAAAATGTATTCATATTTCCATGACAAAATTTAATAAATACAGGAAAGCAATTAAATTATGCTTGGCTAAATCGCACATCGAAGCTCTCGAATAAAACAACATTCCCAGCATAGAAAAATGGTCAAACATTTAAATATATCCGAATGTCACAATAAGTATAATCTAAGATATAAATGTAAATAGCAATTCTTAACAAAATGTTTAGCAATTGTGTGGCATACAGAATGTTAAAAATTATTTATGTACTTCATCTTTTCAACAAAATAAGGCCAGTATTTTGCTTTTTAACGACGTATGCTACTAATTAAACATATTCCATCAATTATCTAGTAAAAACTACGAATCGTGTCAACTACACTTGAAATCTATTACAAATTTGTAGTGGTTTTTGTTGGCATTATTGTGGGTATAGTTTTATGGATAAAAGCATTGAAATGCTGGATAAAAATGAACCCTCAGCACTTCAAAAAAACCTAAGATAAATCAGACTTTATCTGAAATGACACATTAAAATTCACAACAAGTCACTTCTCATATTGAAAACCACTGCAGTAGAGTGATTAAAAAAAAGAATCTCAGTTATTATATGAGCTTAATAGAGTCGATTATAATACCAACCAATGCAAAATGCAAATGATAGATATGTAGAGTGAAAAACGCAAGTTTGAACATTTCTGATAAATTTGTGTATTCTCAGGTAAAAATATAATAATGATAAAAAGTGTGTGCTTTCACCATCGAATGTGATTAATTAAATAAATGCCTGCTTCATAGCATTGCCAAGCAGTTTTGATATAAGTTGTGGCTTATGGATGAAAAATGAATGAGAAGCCAATGAAATTTCAGATGAAATCATTCTGCAAGTAGCCAGCTTGAGTTGTTTACAACTAATTTTCAATATTTATAATTGACTCCAGTGATTCTCTTTTCAACCATGAAAATATTCGCGTTTTTCCTGATTAAAAAAAGTAAATTTTTAATCATTGTAAATTGGATAAAAGGTTCATAACGTCAAACAGTCATTAGCTGTACTACAAGAGAGCGTTTCTTCTGTAATGCCATATGGTTTGCCCTCACATCCAATCACATTTTTCTGACCACAAACAAGCAATTTGATTACGGTATCTAAATATCAATAATTTATTTGTAAAATGATGATTGCAAATTTACATGAATGGCCCAATTTTGATAAAGAGATTTTTTCCAGTTCTAACTTAATTCATAAGTTTCATAATAATAGCTTTCATGATGACAGCCAGAATAAATCAGTGAATAATTTGATGAAGCAAAAAATTAGAAAAATGGGTGTTAAATACCACTCATCCATCTGTTTCAAACGCATGTCTTAAACGTGTACTAATACGCATAAAGTTACTTGAGTTTAGATTTTTATAAAGCTATACTCCGTGAAGCTAATTTGTCGTAAGTATTCTGAGACATTTAATAGTCATTTTTATTTTTATCATGATTAATACCAGTTCGGTGCTTATTATATTCATTTTGTATTACTGTTATAACAAAGGGTAAAAATGTGGAATGGATCAGGGTAGGTTCAAGGAAAGCAATAACCTGTCTGCATATTTTGAATATGCTTTTTCCTCTCGCAGAATTTCGACTTGTGTAAGCAAGAGAGGCATCAGTAAGCGAAAATGTGAACTGTCAAATGCTTATGTAAAATGAAAGCGTCAGGTGCAAGACAATAATTTTTAAAGTAATCAGGAGTTAGATTTGAAAATATCATACTAAGGCATATAAACTGAATTCATATGTGTAAGTAGTCATATACTGTCTAATTGTTGACTACGGGACATGCCAAGTGCACTATACTGGTCAAAGTGTGATACAAGTAAAGGAGTTTGCAAAAGTCTGGTACCAGAAAAGTTGGAAAAAATGAAATAAATAATACTACAATAGCAATAATCAATAAGGCAGTGATTATTTGAAGAAACTGCCCATTATTAAAAGATTATGAGAATGATTTGGCACCTAATTGAAACACAAAATGCGAAAGACAAGTATCGGAAATTAGTAAAGTGATGAAGGAAATTGGGATAATGGTTATTAGCAGCAAACACAGGTGCGATAATTTCAAGAATTATGATGCTTACCTAATTTTGAGCAGATTTTGAAGCAGAAGTGAATTACAGTTATTGGTAGTGAAATAATGACAATTTATATACTACTGATATAGAATGAATGTAAAATGATAACTGGTGGTGATAATTAGTAAAAATATGTAATCATACCTGACATGTAGATGGGGTTAGTTCATTTGTTCTCGAGGAACAGTTTCTTCCATCAACGAGCAGAGAGAGCTAACCAGCGTAGCAGCGCAAACTCTTCCCTTTGGCTATTGATCTGTGAGCGAAAAGCACCATAAGATAGAATGTCGCTGTGGTAAGAAGTAGTAAGCAGTTGCTGCTACCAATACCGCCAATGCTACTGCTAAAACTGCAAGTGCACTACAGCAACACTTGGAAGTGGATTAGAAGAGCGACGAATACGTTATAACACGTGTCAGAAGCGCGATCCAAATGTTGGCTTGATTGGGCTCAGCTCCGCTTCACTCAACTCTGCTAGATAGCTAACATAATCTGAGAAAAGATGAGCTCTTGAACAACACATCTTACAATCTTCACTGCAGTACATACCTCTCTCTCTACAATTTATCTATCTATCTATCTATGTATCCAATTATCCAACTATCCAACTACGTATCCATAAATCCTCCTACCCATCAATCCCCATCCTTATATTTATTATTCTTTTGATGATAGCAGCAGCAGCAGCACGCCCTGCTCTCCAATGCCGGTAAATGCCTAAGCTTTCTTCGTTGCCTGTCTCCCTTGGGCCATACCTTCTTTACCTACCTATGCTATTCGAAACTATACTTCGTTAGCTAACTTACCAGTATCTCTCCAACTGCTTTTATCCTTCCGTGCTAACCAGTATTATTGCTCTTTTCTCCACTCTTTAATACTTTGTAGCAACTACGACTACAACTGCATCAGCATTACTATTACTACTACTACTACCACTGTTACCACCGCTATCACTATAGCTACTACTACTACTGCTACTGCTACTACAATGACTACTACTGATACTGCTCCTACTACTAGTGCTACTACTACTACTACTAATGCTGTTGACCTTAATTCTATTATTAATAATAATATAAATAGTTGTGGTGAAAGTGATGATATTACCAATTGTTATAATCAGTAATTCTTGTTATAGTTGCGAATCTGAAATAAGAACCAACAAATTTATCTCACTTTTGTGTGAAACAGCTAAATTTTGTTGCACTTCTGATTAATGAAGACTTCAGAACTTCTCCTTCAGCAAATATATTTTGTTCCAGTTTGGTAAATAGCTTCTTGTTTTGGTCATTTTTTTATCCACAGAATCTCAGTAATTACAGCAACAACTGATGACAACCACCTTATGAAACCTGACCAATTAATCCTTTATATGTCAAAGTTATTCATGCCCATAAATGCATGCATGTACTTTATTTCCGATTGTTCAAAGCCAAATCCAACCTTCTTTTTTAATTAATTCTATCTTAATTTACATATTGTGCATTTTCTAATGAGATACAAAGAAAAGAATATTATATTGCCAGAATCAAGTATTCACTAGAACAGTGCAGCATGTGTGATAAAATTAGCGGTCAAGAAAGGAATCAAGTATTTTCAGCACCAATATAATTATGCTCCTTGTTTATTAAAAACAATGACCTATAAATCACTAATGACAACATATAATGAGCTCACTTTACACTTCTTCAATTGTACTGCATGAATACAAAACCACTAATGCGGATATTCCTTTAGTCTTCTCCTAAATATCTCAAATCCAATGAGTTATTGCCACTACTCCTTCCTTAAGCATCCATCGCCAAGATTTGACTTTAGATCCCCTCTTTGATTGAACAACCGATTAATGATGCACCCCATACCTATTTGTGTAAAAAGTACGCAAGCAAAACACAGAGCAATTATTAATCCAATATACAACTCACACCTTCATCATTTGAAAACTTCTCTTGGAGCCGCCTGGAAATTCTATTGTTAGGTGAGCATAATTAAATCCCCTATAACTCCAAACCCTTGATTTTGTTTTTAAAGTACTTTACTACAAAGGACCTAAATTACATGGTATATCTCTTTAGAAAGTTACATGCGCAAAAAACATGATGTGGCGAAGCCGGAAATTTGCTGTAAACAAAACAAACAAATCATAATTTTTGAAGCTGAGATCTCTTGGAGTCATTACTATCATCAGTTCTTTATTCCAAGATGAAATGTCACTTACTGATGTTCCAGTAGCACTAACACATCGATCATTTAGATCATTCTTACATTATCCTTACAGTTATATATGATAGTGAAGGTTGATACAGTTAAGGCACTTCCTCAAACAAAATTACTGGAAAAACTAGCTAACTTCTCCGACCTTCCAAAATACTTTAAATAATGAAGCAGTTACATCTCCGAATCTAGGAATATGTAATCACATAAAGTTTAAGAGCGAACCCGACGAATGCCACTACTGATGATCAAGTGTATAATATTGTTCAACAAGTCATCAGAAAACAATTTTTTTCATGGCTTACTTCAGTACAACAATGAAAAAATACAAAAATAACGAACAAAATCAATCAAAAAGCCCAAAACCCATATCTTCATCAGATTCTTCCTCTTTCTTTTCCTCTTTTTTCTCCACGAGTGCAGGTGCGGGTGCGGCAGGGCCATCTTTTTGACCAACAGAAGTAGCAACAGCTCCAGCAGCAACTGAAATAAAATTTTTAAAAGGAATGAAGTGAAGAGAATGTGAAACAATGACATCCAAAAATAAACAACATATTCCACAAAGCACTGTACAAATGAAATTTCTAGAAGCATAATTTAAAAGAACCAATGCATTTTGTAGGAAAGTTCCTAGATAGGATCTCGAACAGGAGGGGTTTTCGCAGTTGGAAACGTAACATTATATGAACAAATTTCAAAACCTACTTTTCCTTTCAAAGCTTATGTTTCAGGAAATTTAAAACAGACAATGCTATAAAAACCATGTTGTACAAGTAACCCACAAAATAAACGATAAAGTATAGGAGACATTGAACTGACTTAAAGTGCACCTAAAAACTTTTAGGCATTCTGGAATATATATGTCGACACATATAAAACCAAAAAGTCAACCACTACTTATATGTATAACTTAAAAAAAGTGACTGACTCGAACACAAACTATACACATATTACGCAATAAATCATATTCGAACAGGAATATGACAGAAAACAATTAGAGGAACTTATCTCGATTTTAAGAGATCCAAGCAAAAATTATACTCTTTATGATAAAATTTAGCAGATATGAATCCAATAAAATAATTAAATATTTTAAAAAATACCAGTAGATGGCGTGGTTGATACTGAGGAAAGATGATTAGATCCTTCAACAATCAATTCATCTACTGTTTTTCCCTGCATTTTTTTGATTACTTCCTCCGCCTTTTCTCGTACACACTCAATGCCTACACATAAAAGAATATCTTGAATATCATTTGCTGTTACTTGACGTTTAGAACCCAGAGAAGCCAGCATATAAGCTGCTACGTATCTCATCTTCGCTAACTATTGTACCTGAAAACTACTGTCCATCAAAAAAATTCTGACAGTTTGAAGTAACAACAAAACAAAAACTGAGAAAACATGATAAGCTTCTTTTTATAGTGATCAATCCAAATAATATTTGTTTGGATAACAACAATAAAGTAAACGAAGACCATGACACAAAAAAAAATCCCATCAATCCGATTTTTTAGAATGTAAATATAAAATGTAATCTTCAGCAAAACTAGTCTCTCAATTTAATATTGTGCGAAAGATAAACCTATATATATATATAT